TCTTAGATTTTGAAAGTTATTAAATTGAACTGTCCTATATGGCTCGTCACTGCTTCTCAGTTCCTTATTTATTTCTGTTACATACTGAGTTGATTGTACTCATACTACATCATGCACTTCATGTGTAGATCCAGGTATGTTTGAGCACGGAGACCGTTGAGTTCAGGCGTGATCGAGTTCCGGAGACTACGAGATAGCTGCCAGCGTCCGCAAGACCTTGTCACTCCTTCTATATTTATTTCTACCTTGTATTGATACTTAGACACTGGTTGTATTAGTTTTAGTACCTAGACGCTCATGACTTGGTGACACCTCGATGTTTGGGGCTAGTTTTTTCGCACTCTGATTCTATTCTGAGTTCAACTTTGGTTTTAATGAAAATTCCTGATATGGAAAAAGTTTTAAATTACTTTTATATTTAACTACTGAAGTATTTTGGGAAAGTCAGGCTTGCCTAGTACCATCGATAGGCGCCGTCACGACATGTTAGGTTTTGGGTCGTGACACCTGATTGTCAATAAGCCTTGAGAGAAGTTCCATGCATAAGATAAATATATATGGAGACATAGGATCTCTTTGACGAATCCCTCTACTAGGACTAAAGTATTTTGTCTTAGTACTGTTAACAAGGACACCAATATTGCTAGTACTTATGCAATGTATAATGAGTTTGGATATTTTTGGAGGGAAGTTAAAGAAGTTGAGGGTTTTATGAATAAAATCACATTCCAATTTGTCAAAAGCCTTTTCAAGATATATTTTTAAAAGCATATCGAATTTAGAGCTATTGGAGGTGCGCATATTGTTAAGGAGTTCTTGTATAATAATAGCATTATCACTAGCTCTCCGTTTTTTATAAAGCTGGTTTGGGTAGGGCCAATTAAGTTTGGAAGCAAAGGCTTAAGTCTGTTGGCTATTATTTAAGTAATGATTTTGTAAGCGGTATTACAAAGGCCAATATGTCTAAAATTTTTTAGGTGATTAGCATTGTTAATTTTGGGAATGAGACATAAATAGGTATCGTTTGTACCAATTGGAAGGGACTGGGTTTCAAAGACCTTATGACAAACATTTTTCACGGAGTTACCAACTATATTCCAATATTTTTGATAAAAGAAAGGGTGAATCCCATCTAGCCCTGGTGCCTTAAAGGGTTTAAAAGAAAAGATAGCATTTGTGATTTCTGTAGTTGCAAGAGGTCTATCAAGGATTCCTAAATCGACCATTAATAAATTAGAGGTATGGTTCTTAAAGACAACCCTCTTTGTAACACTCTTAGAAGTAGTGAAGGCTTGTTCAAAGTAATTAAAAGTATGTTAAAGAATTGATTTGACATCAGTGATCCAGTTGCCATTATCATTTTTGAAGTACATTATAGAGTTGCGACGTTTTCTATTGGAGGCCATAATGTGGTAGAATTTAGTATTGACGTCCCCTTCAGTACACCAATTAATACGTAAACGAAGTTTCCAGAAGTCTTCTTCCATTTTGAGAATAACATTGTACTCTTGTTGGAGATGCATTTCAAGATTCGTTAAGAAGGAGTTGTTTTGATTGTTGGGAGAGGCCTGTATGCCATGTAGTCGAGCAAGAAGTCTTTTCTTCTTTTTAAAAATGTCGCCAAAAGTATTATTCTTCCAACTAATGAGTTTTTCCTTAAGAATATTATGGGCTCTATTTAGGTCATTCATCATCCAGCTGTCGCGAACAATATTGATGAAATCAGGATGTTTACTGTCACGACCCAAAATTCAACTAGTCGTGATGATACCTAACCAACCCAGTAGGTAAGTCAATTAACAACTATCCAATTCCAATGAAATTCAATAAGACAATTCAGTAAAAAACAAAAATCTAAATCCCATACATTTTCCAAGGACTGGTATACAAATCACGAGCTTCTAAAATTAGAATTTACAAAGCTGGTATGAATTAAATACATCATTTGTTCGAAAAGTATATAAACAAAATTTTATATTCTAAGTCTACCATGAACAAGAGGAAGCTACAACCGGAACGAAGGGACGTCTTTAATTTCCAGCTCCTGTCGATCACAGCCACATTCAACAGCCAACATCTGCACGCAAGGTGCAGAAGTGTAGTATGAGTACAACCGACCCAATGTACTCAATAAGTAACAAACATAACCTTAGGTTGAAAGTAGTGACGAGTTGGAACAAAGATCGTGTCCAACACTAATAGCCAACAACATTTCTTAACAACGTAAAGTAAGTAATAAAGAAGTAACTCAGAGATAAAATGCTCAACTTTTTCATAGTTTCCCGAAAAAAATAGTTCCGCTTTTCAAGTATATCAATAAAAACCCAGTCCTTTTCTGAAATAGTAGAAAATACGAGTAAATTTGAAAACTATAAATTTTTTCCAAAAATCCTTTCAACAATAAATAAGATGTTTTATTTTCTTTTCAAATAGCAAGTGTAAAATACCTCTCTTTGCCCATATGTCAATATGTGTCAGAAGTCATGAATGACGTGATATCATACAACATGAGAAAAATGCATCTCTATGCTTGTATGTGATGTATGCATATCAATGCAATGTATCTCAGAGATGAACTTAAGTACTCACACTCTCAGAGTACTCAGTCTCACACTTTCCACTCTTCATGCTTAATCACTCAGTACTGTATATTGCCAGTCCGGCCCAGGGAAGATCCATCCCGAAATATATACATTAACTGAACATCACTCACTCAGTACTGAGTAAGGCCAAATCCAGCCCGTGGAGAAGATCCATCCCCAGGTATATAAATGCTTCGGACAAGATCCATGTCCAGAGAAGATCCATCCCTCAATATAATCAACCGCGCTCACTGAGTGTGTGTGCAGAATCTGGAGGGGCTCCTTCGGCCCAAGCGCTATCATAAATCAGTATAACCACTGCGGCGTGCATTCCGATTCCATATATGTAATCAATATAACATGTTGCGGCGTGCAACCCGATCCCATAATATCACTCACACTCAGGCCCTCGGCCTCACTCAGTCATCAATCTCTTCAGTCTCCCAGGCTCACAATGCCATGAAACTAGCCCAAAATGATGATACGATATGCTAATAAATGGTAACAGAGACTGAGATATGATATGTACATGAATGCGTATGACTGAGTATATACAACAATGAAAGCAGATAACGCATTAGCAGAAATGACTGCAGTGGGCCCCAACAAGATAAGCATGTATTCTAGACATGGTTTATAACAAGGATCACAACTCAATAGCTCAAGTACGTAAAAATTTCATAATTACAGGTAAGATCAGGTAACTACACAGTACCACAGAAATAACGGAGTCACAATTCACACGGTGCACGCCCACACGCCTGCCACCTAGCATGTGCGTCATCTCAACACCAAAACTCGCTTTTGATGCCTCTAATGGATTCCTTGTGAAACTTCAGTCAGGTTAGGATTTTGAATCACTCCATTTAACCTTATAATGAAAGAGATATGGTGGTTTAAATATTTAAAAATAGTGCAAATTTTTAAATACGAAGTCACTGACAATTTCGTAATTAATCTGAAAATTCTGGCAACCCAATTCTTAGTAAAATGACAATAAAATTCTCATACGATGCCCAAATTCGACGATTCTTTTTTCTATGGCTGCGTAATTACGATACAGATCTAATGATTCAATCAAAACAAAAATCGGAGCTTATTTGTTTAATGTGGTACCATTTATGCTTGAAGAAACGACGTCGAAACATAAGAAAAACGAGCGCAACACAGATCAAACCTATCTGAAACTCACCCGAGCCTCTCGCAATCCCGTACGAACATACCAATATAATACAGACCTACTCGAGGCCTCAAATCACGCATAACAATATCGAAATGACAAAACGCACCTCAAATCAAACTTAATGAACTTTCGACATCCAAATACTCGCGCCGAAACATATCAAAATCAACTCGGAATGAACTCAAATTTTGCACACAAGTTCTTGTATATCATACGGAGTTACTCATGCCCCCAAACTATCGGGGCGAAGTGCAAATGCTCAAAATGACCGGTCGAGTCGTTACATTCTCCCGCACTTAAACATACGTTCGTCCTCGAACGTGCCAAGAGTTATTCCTAAGTCGTCAAACCGCCGTGTAACCTTACCATGCACATAGCCAGGGGGTGATCCCACGTCAACCTATTGTATATAGGACCGACAACACAACATAACTGAAGATCATTACTTTAACCTTAGTCTGTAAACCACATAATCCAATTTCCAACATCCGAAATTTATTACAAACCCGAATCTCGCATCTACGCACTGTATAAGTCTGAACAAGCTGCATCAAGCCATAACCATAACCCAAGACATAATCACATGATATACCACATAACTCAAATGCTCATAACAATAATTACTAATCACCGTAGCTGTTTAAAAATAAACCCGGTACTGGTAATAAACCTCATATCAAACAAAACCTCGTTCTAAAACCTTCATACACTGCCGATGATGAAAGAAACACACAGAAACTCATAACCACTCATCAAATCAACAAGTCATGGAGCTCCCTCTCCTTCGACAAGAACTTTCATGTATTTTTCAATATTATTTCATAAGGTATTTCTATTACCTAGTTTTGTGCTCGCATATATGGAAGAAAACAACCAAGTGGTATTTATAGAGCGTATCTCAATGTTAGCATGAATTTCTTGGTTCCTTCTAACAGAGTTGTTCACATTAACCACGCTGGAGTTTCATAGACACTACAACAAAAAGGGGATTTAGCGGCAATTATTTAGCAGCAATAAACTTATTGCCGCTAATTTATTCACGGAAGACAAATATTAGCGGTCAATAAATATTAACCGGTAATTAGTATACTTTTAATGGCCATTCAAGAGAATAAACAGTAAAGCTATTATTTTTACTCTTAATATTGCCTTCAATTTTTATTTTCCGCTAAATCATCTCCCGCCTAAATCTATCAATTTAGCCTAAAGACTACCCAAAAAACAAAGGACATGCATTACTTTAACTGAAAACCCCTTACTCAATCTCTTCGCAAGCCATTTAAGAGAAAAATCGCCGGCCATTTTCTCAACCAAAAAAGTAACCCTCATATTATACACTCTCATCCGTAAGCCATTTAAGAGAAAAATTGCCGACCACATTCTCAACCAAAACAAGTAAGTTCTTTCTCTATCTTTGATGTTTTATTGTATGGGTCTTTCTCTATCTTTGATTTTATTGTATGGGTGTTGGGTTAAAAATTGCTAATTATTGGGTCTAGGAATTACCTAAAGACTACAAAAAGGTTAGGAATAAACTTAATTGAAAAAACTCATAGTATACAAATCGTACCGGCAACCAAAATCGCAACCCGTCAATAAGTTTCTCTCTCTAATCTGTAGTGTTTGATTGTGTGGGTGTTGGATTGATGAAAATTGCTTACTACTTGGGTCTATGGGTTCGATTTGTCAAAGTTCAATTCACTGAATGAGTAAAATCTTTATATCTTTTCTAATTTAGTATTGACGAATCTATGGCATTGTTTGAATTAAATAAATTATTAACTTTTATAGCATACGTTTTTTAAATGGAATTATTCTTATAGTTATTTAACTTTATTTCCCCTATATTCTGGATCAATAGTTCAGAACTTTTAATAAATAAATCTTTTTCTTTCAATTTAAGTCATTTTATAGAAGATGCATGTTAGTCATCTATGTATTTTCTATGTTTGTATTGGTTGATCACTGGATGTTTGAGTGAATGCTTTGTGATTTTTTTACTTATATTTGTTGGTTGTAGCCTTGCATTACAATATGGTAAGGTGTTATTATCATCGGACAATTATTTTTTCTGGTGTATCAATACCTCTTATCTCTAGAACTATCTATATCGCAAGGCATTGTTTGTACGTACGAATCGCTACTTGTTTGTGTTTCACAGCTTGAGATGAGGGTGATGCTTCCTCCTGTTTTGCATGTGACCTACTGATCTGTTGGAGTTAATCTGGTACTAGTATAACTTAATGCAGCTAGATAATTTCTTCATTTTGGAAAGGAACTATGGAAACTAGAGGTCGCAATCGACTGGTAATTGAACAAAATAATGATGAAGATGTGCGATCTTATATTGAGCAATTGATGGATGGTCAAAACTACTTTAGAGCCCAACCATATGTTGAGCAGTTGATGGATGATCAGAATTACTCTAAAGCCCAAGCACATGATGGTCAATCTAATGAGTCGAATAGTTCTGCTGGTGGCATTTAGATTCAACATAATGACGATTCAGGTAATACTTTTTAGTATTGCAATCTGTTGCTTTTGTAGTATAGATTACATTACAACTCAAAAAAAAAGTTCACTTAATATCATATCGATTGCACATTTCCAAAAATTAAATTTCTCCTGATATCTTTTTATCAAGTGAAATTGCTTCAGTACAGTTCTCTTCAGGTTGTCGAAAGATGCAAGTGAAATTACTCAGTAAAAACATTAGACCGTCAAGCACTGAAGAAGTAGTTCTACATGATTTTTTATCAAACTATCCCAATTATAAGTAAGCAGCTATCTGATGCAATAGTACGTGGCCTTATCATTCAATTTTATTACTTCTGTGTAGTAGCTCACGGCTTTGTTCCACTGCTTGCCCTTATATGCAGTATTTCCTATACAGAGCACCATGATAAATTAGAAGCACATACTAATGAAAGAACCCATAACTTTCGGAAGGTAGTAAAGTGAATATGAATAACTATTAGGCACAATATTATTTCATTGCATATGCTGTTACTTAAAGCTGAAATTTAAAAAGTTGCTAGGATTATGGTAACCACATAACAGTAGCAACTCTACCAGAGATCAATGTAACAACAATCATTGTGAAATTGATTGTTTCTGGTGTGGCTTATTAGCAGACTCTTCTTCTTTGGAGTAGAGAGACCCGACGAAAGTGAAAGTTAATATTTTTAAGTGCCCCACATGCTGGTCGAGAATATTAAATTCCAATGCTGGTAGCTAAAAGGTTGTAACAAGGAGATGTGAATTATACTTCAGGTCTTTGTAGCCTCTCGGACGAGGATATAAAACAGTTTGATGCCACAAAGAGAATTAAGAAACAAAATCTAATCAAGTCGAACAAAACTTACAGTTGATCTTAACATATGAAAAAGCTCAATCTTTTATGCATGATGTGATCTTCTAAATGTTGGTTTTTATTTTTTCCGGAAGTTCTCTATCCCAAAACGTGGAGAAGCATGGATCTTAAAGTCACTAGGAAAGAATTGGAAAGATTACAAGTGTGATTTAAATGCTGAGTGGTCACGACCTAAAACTTCCTTCATAAAACGTCGTGACGACACCCAATCTCTACGACTAGGTAAGCCTAAAAGATTGCGAAAATAACAAAAATAAAAGTAAAACTTAACAACTAACTGCAATAGATAACTGAACAACTGGTAACAATGCCGCTCGGCATGTACAATAACTAATACTCTAGAAATACAATGTCTTCCCAAAATCTGGAACATCATAAGTCACAAGTTACAGAAGAAAACTAGTATCTCTATACACCAGAGTCTAATAAAAGAAGTACATAAGGTAATTGACATAGGGGAGAATAGAGGGGGACTCCGAGGTCTGCGGATGCGGCAGATATACCTTGAAATCTCCAATCTGTCACTGCTCACTGATGACGTGGCTGATAGTGAGCACCTGGATCTGCACACAAAACATGTGCAGAAGAGTAGCATGAGTACACCACAACGGTATCCAATAAGTGCCAAGCCTAACCTCGGTCGAGTAGTGACTTGGTTAGGTCAGGGCCCACTGGTGTATAATAAATAAAGCAGGAGAATGAAGCAGTATAATAAGAGACTAGAATTTAACTAAAAGAAAAACACAGCAAAATAGTAGTACAACACACATGGATAAACAACGGGGGATCCCCCGAGATACCATCTCGTAGTCCCAAAGTAAATATGCAAAGAGATCTCCTAAGGTACCGCCTCGTAGTCTCAAAAGTAAACACATAACTCAAACCGATAAATACAACAGTTAATAACAAGAATTCTATAGTTAAGACTGATAAAGATCAAGGAAAAGCAGGAAATCAACTAGGCATGCTGCACATAGTTCAAATAAGCAGTTAAAGCACGTAAACATATGATATTAGACTAAATAGGATAACTACACATGTTGGTATAACTCAATTAAGATGAAACCAGGTTACTACTCAGTAAAAAATTGGGTTTTACGACAAATAGCTCGTGTACGCACTCGTCACCTCACGTACACAGTGCTAACATATTAAAACAGTACCAAATCCTAAGGGGATTTTCCCCACACAAGGTTAGGCAAGCCACTTACCTCGAACCAAGCTCAAATCAATCCGTAAGAATGTATTTTCCTCGATTATTCGACTCCGAATGACCTAAATCTAACCAAACACAATTACATATCATAAATACAACTACAATAGACTAAGCTAATTAATGAAATCAAGACTTTAACAAAAAATTCAAAAATAACTCTAAAACTTCCCCGGACCCACGTCTTGGAATCCGGTAAAAGTCACAAAATATGAATACCCATTCACTCACAAGTTCACTCGTTCCAAAATTACTCAAATCCGATGTCAAAATCTCAATCAAAACCCAAAAATTTGCTTGAAGAACTTTTTCCATTTTCCCCAATTTTCTCAACCTAAATCCGAAACTAAAGGATGGAATTAATGATAGATTAGTGGGATATAACCAAAAACAAGTGAAGAATCATTACCCAATTGATGCCTTTGAAAATCACTCAAAATTTTGTCCAAATTTGAGCTCTATCTCAAGTTATGATAAAAATGGCTAAACCCTCGTTTTGAAATGTTTATAACTGCCCAGTGATTCCTCAATCGCGATCGCGGAAATAGCCTCGCGACCGCGAAGCACAACTTCGCTGTCCCAGAATTTAACCCTACGCGAACGCGGAAAACTCCACGCGAATGCGATGCACAAGCTCTCATACTTACGCGATCGCGAACGACCCCACGCGTTCGTGATGAGCAAAGCGCGTGGTCCAACTTTAGCCTCCTTAACACTACGCAAACGCGACCTTTGCCATGCGTTCGCAAAGCACCACTTCACACCAATACGCATTCGCATACTCCTGTCGCGAACGTAAAGAACAAGTCCTTCCTCTGCCCACCTTAGCCTACACGATCGCGGACTACCTCTTGCGATCGCGTATAAGCAAACCAGATGCACGAGATCACAGAACTTCAGCCATCTTCCAAAATCAATTCCAAATCCGTTGACCATCCGAGGCCCCCAGGATCTCAACCCAACATACCAACGAGTCCTAAAACATCATACGAACTTAGTCGAGCCCTCAAATCACATAAACAACAACAAAAGCACGAATCACCGTCTGATCCAAACTTAATGAACTTGAAACTTCAAACTTTCACAACCGATGCCAAAACCTATCAAACCATGTCCGATTGACCTTAAATTTTGCACACAAGTCATATTCGACATTATGGACCTACTCCAACTTCCGGAATCGGAATCCGACCCCGATAATCAAAGGTTCACTTCCGGACAAACTTTTCAAAAATTCAACTTTCACCATTTCAAGCTTAATTTAGCTACAGACCTCCAAAACACAATCCAGATACATTCCTAAGTCCAAAATCACCCCACGGAGCTAACGAAACCGACAACACTCCATTCTGGAGTCGTCTTCACACATTTCTAACTACGGTCAAAATCCTAGTACTTAAGCTTCCGTTTTAGGGACTTAGTGTCCCAAAACACTCCGAAACTACGAACAAAACCTCCCGACAAGTCACATAAGCAGAAAAAATACGAGGGAAGCAGTAAATATGGGATCGGGGCTATAACTCTTAAAACGACCGATCAGGTCGTTACATGAGTATGCGCAAAAATATAAGACTAAAGACGCTTTGCTAAAAAATAGACCAAGTCGCATACCGAGGGATCAATGGAGTGGTCTTGTCTCTTATTGGCTTTCTAATAAAGCTAAGGAATCAAGCTTGAAAACACTCCTAGTCTGGCTTATTTTTATAGCGTTTTGATTTTAGTTATGCACAATTTTTATTTGTAATTATAAGATATCATTTTATGTTTCAATGACAGAGACGTACACAAACAAATAGAAATAACAGGGCCAAGCAAACGAGACCTCGCGCAAGAGGATCCAAAAGTATTGCTACCTTGATGAATGAGCAGGTAAACTTGTGAAAATTTACAAACAATAATATTTTAAAAATAAATTTGCCACGCATATCTGACATTGTTTTAATCATATTAGGTTGTAAATGGGAAAGAGCCTACACAAGCAGGAATTTTCATATTAACTCATAAAAACGTAAGGATGGTTGACCAATGGATGATGATTCTGCCAAGACAATCGTAAGATTTCTTCTTTCTTTCATTTTCTAAACTGGGAAACAGTTGGAACATGAAAATAATTGTGGCTTTTATTCATGTTTCTTTATATATTTCAATTCGTTGTTGATTAATTGACACTTAAAGAAATGTCTTTTTAAAATATATTACTTTTTATTTATTTATTTATTTTGGTGACTTGAATTTATCATCTTTTGGTTCCATATATAAATTCTGTTGAGTTTTTGGAGCAATTGAATGTTTACATAAACTGGTCTTCTATAATACATTTTTACAATACCTGAAAGTTTGATTAAAAGATATTAGGCATAAACTCCCAACTCCCATGTTGCTATGATTGTCCCTAAGAAAAAATATTTTGTGTTCCAGACTTTCAAACTTTCAATAAGTTGAACTTCTCCTCGATCTTTCAAAGATGTATATAATGTCTATTTCTGTACTATAATTTCCCTCTTTTGTGGTTCGATGACTCTGTCAATGTGCATTTTTTCCTGTTCATGCATTCCAAAGTAGATTTATTATTTATTCTATGGCCAGGAAATGACAAATGAAAGGGTGGGCAATAGTGAGAGATCTATTGGGCAACCTCCTCATAGTGTTGCTTGGGAAGGCGATGTATATTTGTCACGACCAAAATCCTAACCTGTCATGATGACTCTTATCGTGGTACTAGGCAAGCCGAACTTTCCAAAATACTTCCAACATTTAACAGAAATGAATTGAGAAATTTTAAATAACTAGAGTTTCCATAAAAAAAAAGGGGTAAAACCTAAATCACAATTGCCGAAACAATTCCCCAATCGGGGTGTCATTAAGCTCATGAGCATCTATACAACACCGGTCTTGAAAAGAAATATCTACGAGAGTCTGTATCAAATTACAAATAAAGAAAAGATAAGCAAGGAGAAACAAGGACTGCGAACGCTGGGCAGCTACCTCATAAATCTCAGAAGATCAACCGTGCACGATATCAACGCCCATCATGTCCGAAAATACCTGGATCTGCACACGAAGTGTAGGGTGTAGCGTGAGTACAACCAACTCAGTAAGTAACAATAAATAAGGAACTGAAAGATAGTGACGAGCTACACAGTTATAGTTCATTTTCGGAAATCTCAACAAGAAAGTAGGCATGCTTTCAAATCCGGCAATTTATGTCAATTCAGTTTATACAGGCCAAGTTCAAGTAAAAACCAGATATAAAATCTTCCAGAAATTTCAAAAACATTGACATATAGCAGCTATGTACAACAACAATGAAATCAAATACAACCTCTCAGGGCAACGATCACTTAGTCTTTGTCAATAGCTCATCACTCGACTCTTAGCCCTCATCTGCTCACACTCAATAGGTATCTGCGCTCACTGGGGGTGTTCAAACTCCGGAGGAGCTTCTATAGCCCAAGCGCTATAATCCGCACGGACAACTCACGTGCTATAGTATCATATCAGGATCCGCACGGGCAACTCATGTGCTATAATACAAATATCTGGATCCGCACGGACAACTCATATGCTATGGTATCAATATCTCATTATTAGACCCTCAACCTCATTCAGTGATCAATCTCTCTAGTCTTATGGGCTCTCAGTAATCATGGAAATCAGCCCAAAACAAAAATGATATAACGTATCAACAAGGAATAACAAAGACTGAGGTAAAATATGCATGTAAGACTACGACTGAGTGCAAATAGCAATTAGCAAGTAATTCAACTAGTATCATGGCCTCTGTGGGTCCCTACAGTACCATCACATAACCTAAATATGATTTCTAACATGATTTATAGTCGAATTTCTATAACACATGGAGAACATAAAGCTAACAACAAGTTTATTCAACCTTTCAATCTCACAGAATGGACCAAGTCATAATTCCCACGGTGCACGCCTACACGCCCGTCACCTAGCATGTGCGTCACCTTCGAAACCATCACATAACGCATAAATCCGGGGTTTCATACCCTCTGGACCAGATTTAAAACTGTTACTTACCTCAATTCGAGCAAAACTCTACTCCAATATGCCTTTGCCTCATGAATCGGCCTCCAAATATCCCGAATCTAGCCACAAGCAGTACAATGCAATCAATACGGGCTAAAGGAATCAATTCTACAAGAAATTATGAAATTATAGCTCAAAATCCGAAATCGGCTCAAACTCGGCCCCCGGGCCCATGTCTCGAAATTCAACAAAAGTCACAAACCTGAAAGCCCATTCAACCACAATTCTAACCATATCAAATTTATCAAAATCAGACATCAAATGGCCATTCAAATCCCCAAAATCAACTCTCCAATTCCCTAGCGTCAATCCCCCAAATTACACCTCAAAAACACACCAACTAGGTGGAAAAATCAATGTGAAAACATAATTATTGAAGAAATTTAACCACAAGTGACTTACCTGAAGAATCCCTTCGAAACCTCTCTAAAAAATGTTAGAAATGTGAACTTTCCCGGAACCCTCGTTTTTGAATCTTTTTATACTGCCCAGTTCTTTCCTCTATGCGATCGCGGACCAAGTCACTCGATCGCGAAGAACAAATAACCTGCCCCCATAAATTGGCCTACGCGAACACGGAATCCTCCATGCGAACGTGTTGCACCGCCCCTCTGACTTACGCGATCGCGAACGACCTTACGTGTTCGCGATGAACAAAACATGTGGCCTCATCTCCTACCCCTTTTCCTCTTCGCGAACACGGCCTAGCCCACGCGTTCGCATTACACAACTTCTCAAGGCTACACAACCGCGGTCCTTCACTCATGAACGCATAGGGCAAGCTCCATTAGCGACCAACTTAGACAATGCGATCGCGGATATCAGATCAGGAAAAACCAGAAAACTTCAGCTTACAAACTAAGTCCAAAAATGATTCGTTAACCACCCGAGACTCCTGTGACCTTAACCAAACATACCATCAAGTCCCAAAACATCATACGAACTTAGTCGAACCCTCAAATCACTTCAAACAACATCAAAAACATGAATTGCACATGGATTCAAGCCTAATGAACTTTGAAATTTCCATATTCTACAAACGACGTCGAAACCTATCAAATCACGTCCGATTGACCTCAAATTTTGCACACAACTCACAAATGACAACACGAACCTATCCAACTTTCGAAAATCCAATCCGACCCCGATATTAAAAAGTCAACTCCCGGTCAAACTTACCAAAATTCCAACTTTCGCCATTTTAAGCCTAACTCTACTACGGACCTCCAAATCACAATCCAGACACGCTCCTAAGTCCAAAATCACCTAAGGGAGCTAAGAAAACCATCAAAATTCAAATCGAGGTCGTTTACACATAAGTCAACATCTAGTCAACTTTCAATTAAGAGACTAAGTGTCTCAATTCACTCTGAAATCTCTCCGGACCCAAACCAACCAACCCGGTAAGTCATATAACAACTGTAGAGCACAAAAGGAGCAGAAAATGGGGGAACGGGACTATAACTCTCGAAACGACTGGCCGGGTCGTTACATCCTCCCCTTCTTAAACAAATATTCGTCCTCGAACGGATCTAGAAACTTACCTGGAGTCATAAATAGCTGTGGGTATCTGCTCCGCATCTCCCGCTCGGTCTCCCAAGTAGCCTCCTCAACAGGCTGACCTCTCCACTGCACCTTCACTGAAGCTATATCCTTTGACCTCTACTTTCGAACCTGCCGATCCAAAATGGCCACCGGCTCCACATCATAAGCCAACTCACCATCCAACTGAACCGTGCTGAAATCCAAAACATGAGATGGATCACCGATATACTTCCGAAGCATAGAAACATGAAATCTGGATGCACACTCGACAAGCTAGGTGGCAAGGCAAGCTTGTAAGCCACCTCCCCAATCCTATGAAGTACCTCAAAAGGCCCAATGAACCGAGGGCTCAACTTGCCTTTCTTTCCGAATCTCATAACACCCTTCATGGGTGAAACCTTCAGCAGAACCTTCTCCCCAACCATGTAAGACACATCGCGGACCTTCCTGTCGGCATAGCTCTTCTGCCTAGACTGCGCTGTGCGAAGCATCCTAAACCAAGTCAGTACCCAATAGCCTAGCCTCACACACCTCAGACTAACCTACCGGATATCTACACCACCTCCCATACAAATCCTCATACAGAGCCATCTGAATGCTTGACTGATAGCTGTTGTTGTAAGCAAACTCCGCGAGTGGCAGAAAATGGTGCCATGAACCCCCGAAATCAATGACACAAGCACATAGCATATCTTTCAATATCTGAATAGTGTGCTCGGGCTGTCCGTCCGTCTGAAGTTGAAATGTTGTACTCAACTCCACCTGAGTGCCCAACTCTCGCTGCACGGCTCTCCAAAACTGCAATGTAAACAGCGTGCCTTTATCTGAAATGATGGAAACTGGCACACTGTGAAGGCAAACAATCTCTCTGATGTAAATCTCAGCCTACCGATCTGAAAAATAAGTAGTACCCACTGGAATGAAGTGCGCGAACTTGGTCAGTCGATCCACAATCACCCAAATAGCATCGAACTTCCTCGAAGTCCGTGGGAGCCCAACTACGAAATCCATGGTGATTCGCTCCCACTTCCACTCTGGAATCTCTATTCTCTAAAGCAAGCCACCCGGTCTCTGATGCTCATATTTTACCTGCTGACAGTTAAGACACCAAGCTCTAAACCTAACTATATCCTTCTTCATTCTCTTCCACCAATAGTGCTACCTCAGGTCCTGGTACATCTTCGCGGCATCCGGATGGATGGAATACCGCGAGCTGTGGGTCTCCTCAAGAATCAACTCCCATAGCCCATCTACATTGGGCACACATATCCGGCCCTGCATCATCAACACCCATCATCTCCAATAGTCACATCTCTGGCATCACCGTGCTAAACCTTGTCCTGGAGGACAAGCAAATGAGGATCATCATACTGGCGCTCTCTGATGCGATCAAATAAGGAAGATCGAGATACCACATAGGCTAGAGCCCGACTAGGCTCCGAAATATCTAATCT